AGCTGGTAAATGTCTTGATTGACTACACTTGCCAAGACTTCATGGCCCAGGGGCCGTAACCCCTAAACCATCTTGAGTAAACAATTCGTTCAACTACCGTTCAGCTGTAGAGTGCATGAGGGCATAGACTGTTAGAATTTCAGAACAATCGGTACCCCATGTATATGTAGACATCCAGTCTGAAAACATTGGCCGGGGATACCTTTCCTTCACTGACATGGGGCGCGATAGGACATCGTCGATTCAAGTCTTAGCGATGCAAATGCAAATACACTAGCTGCATGTCATGCATACGGATTAATCGGGGGTCTACGAGCAGCAGTCTAGGTGTATAGCACCTGCGAGGCCTGCGTCTAGGCCTCACAGTTCTAAAAAGGGCGCAACCCATAGCAATGTGTCAGGCCAACGAGCGCACGACGGAGATACTTCTTGCATGTCTCTACACGCACGCCGGCCGGCAAAGTATTGACGTGGGTTGAAAAGGCAGTTGCTCCCGACCAGGGCAAGCGACAGGCGCTTACTTGTCCCGTGTCTGCCAGCCACACACGGAGGACAAGTGTTCAACTGCAGGCCTGTGAAAGCTGACAAAAAAATGTGGGGTAGCTGGAAACAACCGTCGTCCATGGACGAGGTCAGTCGAAACTGTAGTATAGTTCCGCTTGCAAAGATGAAACCGCGCTGCGTTGAAGCTTGGCAGTTTTTTTTTCCCTGCGTTACTTGACGTGCCTTGAAAAAAAAACTGCATCATTATTGTCAAGTATTTCCCAAAGCCAAAGTGGGAAAAAGTGGAAGCGAAGGAGGGGTAAGCGGAGGAAAGAGGGCCGGAGAAGGGCCGAACGTGGCTCGCGCAGCTCAACAAACAAAGTCGTCTTTCGTGCGTAAGACGTGGGTGAGGCTCTGCACTATCTCATGCATTTGAGATGTATGTGGTGTCGCATGTGATGGGCGCGGCGTGTGGACGGCCTATGCCGAGGGGCAGGCATCGGCATGTCGCAGCATGTACGAAGTAAGAAGAAAAAAGCCGTCGGCCCTGTGCCTGTAGCCATCAAGCTGTGACACTGTAGTGGCTCAACGTGTCCAACACTCCCGATCCGCGCCTCTAGTAACTCCACCAGTGGGCGGAAGATGCTTTTCGGTATTCCCAAAAGAGAGGGTCTGAAAGTGGGTCATCCTTGTTAGGTCGCGAGTGTCACCTCAGAATTGTGAGCAAAAGTTGGCACGGGCAGAGATTTGCTGAGCACTAGATGATTCCGTATCCACACCCGTTTGCCCATCATCCGTCAGCACCCGTTAGTGGACGTGGCTAAAGAATACGTACCGCGTCTTATCAAGCAATGTAAGTAAGTAGCATGTAGTAGTAGTAGTAGTAGTAGTATGTGTGCGTCAAAGATGCCATGGTGCTTGAGATGGACTACACGAAACATCGAACGCTGACTCGTGCGGGATAGAACGCCTAAAGTCGACTGAGACGGAGAGGCTATCCGGCAGTTTTAACATGAGAAAGAAAAGGGTGGGGTTGAAAAGTCTGGACGCAGCGAGTGTAGCCGTGATTGTGGAGAAGACAGGCAAGACCCTTGATCCAGACAAAAGTCGAGTCAGCGACGGGCTCAGTCGCCCTGCACGACATTTTAGCGCGTTTATTACTATGGAGTAGTAATACGCGCTGTGGCTCGCTCGGGCCAAAGGGCCGCCCGTCAGCGTTGCTCAAGAGGGTAGGTTTCCTGGTCACTGAGATGAAGATGCGGCTGAGGGTCAAGTGTGGCTTTAGTGGCGCGCAGCATTGACGTGCAGCTGCAGGGGATAATAGTTTTGCGTCGTGGTTGTGTGGGGACGCAAATGAAGGTTTACTGTAAGAGCGTTGTCGGACGTCGTCATCTTGCAAAGATCGACGAACCATGGAAAAGGCAATTCTTAGGGATGTTTTAGCGCACCCTGGATCGGCCAGGATCGGACCCATCGCTATTGTACCGAGTCCATATATGCTAGTAGGGGTGTCGGCAGGAGTACACTTTCGTACGGCGCTACTCGACGCGCAAGCAGTGGAGTTGGCGCCGCAAAGAGACAGCAATGACGATATCATTCCCGGGCACGACAGTGAATTATGCAGCTGCGTTCCTGGAATGACTAGATGTGGACTAGGCACGTGACCTGGGTAGATATTGCGAATGCCATGTCACACCTTTTGAGCATGCAGGCCGTAGAAGTTTCGCCGCAAGATCTCCCGCAGCCGCCTGTGGCCAGCCATCGTCGCTTTACATCTATCCATCCTGACACGGGACCAGTTCTAGGTCGGGCTTGCACTTGTAGCTCGATCTCGGTTCAGGACCGGCTCGGCGCGAGTGCGAGCACTACATTTGACACGTCCGCTTCGTGACGTCGTTGAAGCACCCCCAAGATACATAAATCTACGTGTGCACATCCATGCACGGCGCCGGAGAAAATTGGATGCACCAGACATGTCGAAAATTTACAAATTTTGACATTTCGGGCATACACAAGGCCGAGCACATCGTTGTTTGTGATGAAATCGGAAAATGTTTTCGCTTTGCAGATGTCGAATTCCAAGTTTACTGCGCAAGACCCCCACCCCAGATTCTTCAAAGCGCAGTCCGTGCTCGGCACACCGGATCCGGCCTAGCGGCCATGGTGTCAGACAATGTGACATGATCATGAGCAGATGAAACCGGCCGACTAGAGAGAGCCTGGTACGAAGTATTGAACAGGCCCAGGCCTTTTGTGCCAGGTTTCCATGTCCGATGTCGTCAGACAGTCATTACTACCAGACAATTCCGTCGGCAGCGGTTGGCTGGAGGGGGGAAATGCTTTATCCCTACTATCGTCATATTGGTCTGACAAGTCCAGCCCACTTTCGCCAAAAGTAAGATTGAGTGGGGTTGACGAGGCATGTCCCCTTGCAGTGTACGGGTATAAGGGCGCGGAAGTATAATTCCTAGGCAAGATAAAGGGAAATATATGCGATGAGTGCAGGTTGCTTACATGCAACCCGAAATCGTATGTCGCCGCGTGAAGCGAAGGGTGCAGAATTTTCGCCTGGGACCCGGCTGTATGGATGCGGCTGTGTGGTGACGAGCAACGTGGGAGACGACAAATGGCAAGCAGAAGAAGATGCAAGACCAATAACAACAAGGACAACAATAACCACATCAGTGTTACATATTAGGCGAGGGCTTATTGTCAAGGTGGTGCAGGCAGGCAGACAGGCAGGCGGGCGGGCGGGCGGGCACAGACAGGTGGCGACATGGGATTTCGACAATTGACGGGTGCAGTGAAGCGTGGCCGCACGCTACGTGATTGCGCCATGTTGCAACCACGTAGATTGGCATTAGTAGAGCCATCTCGATGAGGGACTTTGCGAGGGACTGGCAAGCACAAGGGCGCAGCGCAGGTGCGTGTGTGGCGCGCACGCGCGCCCAGGCTGCACCTGAGCCTTTGGAGAATTTCGGATCGGCAGAAGCACCAATGAAAATGTTCCGCGCCGTGGTAGTATGGGGTGCTTGGGCACGGCTCACCACAGTCGAACTGCGAGTCCGTGCCTAGGCCGTGTGCGAGGATGCAGTGCATCGGGGGCCGCGGGACAGCAAGGCTTGCAGATACTTGGCCGCGAAGCGTTGGTGGAAAGGTGTACAGCGTGGTGCTTGATGCTGTCTCTGCTGGGGAAAGTCGGGGGTGGGATAGCGAACAGGCAGCTATGACGAGAGGTGGAGAGGTGGAGAGCTATGGGCCTGGCGTCGCGCCGCGGTCGGCGCCAGGTTAGCGTCTGAGCTTGTTGCCCTCTGGACACACAGGCCTGCGGGAGCGGGACGACAAGCATAAGGTTTGCTACAAAAAGGGTCTCTGCCGCTCGACGTGCTGACTCGCCGTCGCTCTTCGAGGCCGAGGCGCATGCTCGTCCTGGCCGCCCGTTGTTTTTTGCGCCGTCTGCTGCTCTTGTCCCCGCGGGCGGGCGTGGGTGTGTTGCGTCGTGGGCGTGCAGGGTGGTGCGTGAAATTGCCGCAACGCACAATGATGATTACTGAGGGCAAGCGAAGTCGAGTGTGCATGAGAAGTTCGGCGCCGGCAAGGTTTCCCTGGAGGCGCGACTACGAGTAGGCCGTGCAGCATGCAGGCCCGCTTGAGTGGGCGTACAGGTCGTCAGTGGGGAGGGCGTCGTCTGAAGGCCTTGGCGGGGAGCAGAGAGAGGGCCCATGGGCGAGGGCCGTGGGTGGGCGAAGGGGGGGGGGCGCCCGAGGAGGCTGCGGCCGCCGCCCATTGCTGGCTGGTGCTCAGTCGAGGGCGGGCGCGGTGCGGGAGAGGCCAAAGCCACGGCGCCGCAGCGCCTATTTGCTGTCCATGTCGAGTAGTCGAGCGAGTAGTCGAGTAGTACACATGTACTTGCATCGGCGTGGGTTAAGGCGACGGCCGCATGCGGAGATACGAAGTGCCTCCGAGTGTGGAGAGTGCGAGTGCCCAGAGTGCAGACACTGTGCAGAGTGCAGGCCCGGTTGCAGAGCGAGTGGGTTCGTTGCAACAAAGGGCCCCCCTTCCCTTCCTCCCCGTCGCCATGCCTACAGGCTGGGTACGCAGCATACATACACATACATACATACATGCCACATATGTACATACACACACATACACGGCCCCCCTTCGCACCTGCCGTCTTGGACTCCCCTTTGGCCTGCATTGCATGGCCCTGTCCATGGCCTGAGTAGCGTAGTCCCTCTTGAGATAACATGCCGCCCACTACTCCTCGACTCGGCTCAGACTCCAGATCAAGTTGGAAGCCATCGGGCAGGCCAGCGGGTGATGGTTCGCGCTACCTGTAGGCCGTGCAGCGCGGGTAGCACGCCTAAGCCAGATACCTGACCAGGGTGCTGTGTGGTTGCGGCATGCCATGCATGTGCGCCTGTCTTTGTTGCTTGGGAAACAGCTTGTCTTGTTGGCATCCACATTGGTCCTGTTTGCGCGAATCCCGTCTCGAAGCGAGACGACCAGCCTGTCCAACAAAATCCATATCATTGCAACTTTTTTTTGCATAAACTACAACGGTTGGCTATTGACCAACACCGTGACATCGCCAGGAAAAGTAAAAAAAATAGACGCTGCAAATTTCGTTCGGCCTCGCGCCGTCAAACGCCAAAACACCATGCAATCATCCCAACCGGGCCCCTTTTGGTGGTATCCGAGAGCTGCCACGCTCCAAAAATACTGGGAAACAAGACGATGCTGTTCTACCTTGCATGCCCCTGGCACATGTCGGGCCATGCTCCAAAGTAATAGTAATAATAGTGCGAGATAATGAAAAAAAAAGGCTGATCAAAGGCTGAGATGCGTCTAACATGACTGCGGCATCCAGGAAAAAAATCGTGTGGCCGAGGGCTAGAATGGCGAAACCAAAAAGTGGAAACGGTCGTCTACTTCATCATCGGGAAACCGGCGCATCGCTCTCGGAGGACGCGTCCGCCTGGCGGAGGTGTCAGGGGAGGCGTAATCGCTGCCATCGGCGGGATCGGCAACATTCGGATGTTGTCGTCTGCATCGGCGCCCTCACGGGTGCCCCATGTAGTCTGATCAACAAATGTCAGTCATGTCAAAGATGGGTTGCCAGTGATGATGCTGGTTGCCGTTTTGATATAGGCGGGGGGATGGGAAAACATACCTCGGTGACGGTGATGCAGCCGTAGAGCTTGATAAGATTGTGGAAATAGCCGAAGAGAATCGAGACGGGGACGAAGCGGACGTCGCCGGGGTTCCTTAGCAGATGCGGCACTAGCTTGATCGTCTTTGCAAAGACCCAGTGCGCGATAAACAGTGTCCACAGAAGCGAGCGCTGCCACTTGTCGGCACGCGACAGTTGGCCCTCGTCAGCTGGGTAATATCCAGTCTCACAGAGGGCAAAGTAGGCCGATGCAAGCAGGGCGCAGTCGAGCAGGAACGCCCACTGGGTGACGGTGGTCTGGAAGACGGCATAGAGTGACCATGGGTACCTCTGTCGGGTCAAGTGGTGTCAGCAAAAGGGTCATTATGCGCCGGCCGGCTAGTGAAAAGAGGGGCAGGCTTGGCGCCTCGACGACGCGAAATTTGTGCAAATATTGGAACTAGCAAACTCACCATCCACATGTAACCCTCGGTCAAGCTAGTCAGGTTGCTCCTCCAGTTGGAACGGACCCAACGCAGACATTGCCGCAGGTACTTGGAGTCGTCTTCGAGCGTCGTCTCGACTTCGCACTCGCGGTGGTTCTGCATCTGAATTCTCCAGTTGTGCGAAAACAGCCAGCGGGTGATGAAGTTGTCGTCGTCGGCGTTGAGGAAGTGGTCGCTGCCCCAAGTCTCGTGTGTGAAGCCATAAGTGAAGTTGGGGTCTTGCAAAATCTCCGATCGATAGGCTACGGCGCGGCCGGACAGGCAGGGCAGGCCACCGTCTATCCAGTTGCAGGCGGTGCAGTCGAAATTTCTCCTGACCAGGTAGATGGCGCCTAGAAATTCCCAAATGTTAGAGCGGTTGAAGCGGCGAATCTGCTGGTTGGTGCCAACTCCGCCCACGCGTGGGTCCTCAAAGGGAGCCAGGATCCATTTGGTGAACTTTTCAGGCAGCCAGACGTCGTCGTCGAGAAGAAGCGTGATCTTGGTCTCAACCTCGGGAATGGCGCGGCACAGCTGGCGACGCTTGTTGGCCTGGCTGACGGACAAGACCTGAATAATCTTGGGGCTGCCGAGCTCTTCGACCATCTGATAGACACGCTTGACACGCGAGTCAGGCGTGACGAGTAGCAACTCAAAGGGCTCGAGGCGATATGCGCTTTGGACCGTCTCTTTCAATTGCTGGAGATCCTCGGCAACGGTGGGAATGATTACCGTCATGTCCTTGGAGGTGATTGTTGGGTCGTCGACAGGCTGCATGGGCGTATACGTCCAGTTGCTGGCGAGGTTGACCCAAAGACGGACATAGCGAAACAAACTATGGTAGCGAGTCAGTGTAGTCCCGGGAGCGGGAAGGAGGGGGCCAAGGAGGAGGTCAAGGAGGAGGTCAAGGAGGAGGTCAAGGAGGAGGTCAAGGAGGAGGAGTAGGAGGAGTGGTAATGGGACTGTCAAACATACAAAAGCACGACAAAGATACACAGCCAGCTCCAATTGGGGAACAGGGTCAGTGAAAAGGGAAACATGGCGGCGGGCGGCCAACGAGTGTGGGAGTGCGGGATGTGAGCTTCGACAGAGTATGGTAGACGAAGATCACATCGAATGGTGGGAGTGAAAAGCCGCTTGCATCGGGGAAGAAGCGGAAGTGACAGGTATTTAAACACGTATGCTTGCGAGCGGGCTAGGGCGGCGAGGACATGTTTCGCTTCCCGGCGCTGTTTAAGCTGCATGAGATTCCCTTAGCAGACTTTGGGGTAGTGTGAACATGGCTGGAGCATGAGGTAGTCGCGAATTTCCAGAGGCGACATGGGTGGGGGGGGAGGGGCGACACGAGTCGGGAATAGCACATGCGTCTTTGTGCCAAAGCGTCATCCCATGGATGCTTGGATCCCGCCAGCCGTTGAATCGCTCGCATACGCCTAGGCACCCTGGATGCAGCGCTGTCAGGGATCGACTGCACGCACTGTGGTCTGCGTTGCTGACCAGGGCCATTTGCGGTGGTGCAACCGCCCCGCGGCTGCTCCGGTGGTGGTGCTGGCTGGTGGTGCTGGCTGGTGGTGCTGGCTGGTGGTGCTGGCTGGTGGTGCTGGTGGTGGTGCTGGAGCTGGTGGTGCTCTGGTGCACACACACGCACACACGCACACACACACACTGGCAGGCCGAGGACGACGAGGGCACGAGACAGGCTGCCTGTGGCCCCCCCACCACCACCACCGCAACGGACGACGACGACGACGACGACGACGCCCACCCGCCATGCTCACCTCATGGCGCCATGCTGGACCAGGGCGCTCCGCCCGCCTGTGTGCCCCAGCTGCTGTTGCATGGCCGTCCTCCTGACGCCCCAGGCCGGCGGCGGGCTGTGCTGTGCGAGCGATGCGGCTGATGATCGATGGGTCCATGGCCAATACTCTGTGCCCCCGCTTGGCGCCAGGCCATCTGAGATGAATTGCTCTAGGCCTGTAGGCTGCTCTGCCTAACAGTGCTACTGTAAGTACACACTGCCCATTGCCCACTCTCTGCTCCTCCTCCTCCACTGTCCATGCGCTAGCCGCTGCAAGCGGAGTCGTCCACTCCGGCCCCAGCACCAGCACCAGCACCAGCACCAGCACCACCAGCCAGCACCACCAGCCAGCACCGGCCAGCTCCAGCAACCAAGCTCCGGCCAGAGCCATACGCGCTCGTCTTGGCCCGGCCCATGCTCGTCTGGCGGCAGGGCTGGCGTCTCGAGCCTGCGTCGCGACGTGCTCCCACTCCCGCCACTGCCAATTGATTGCCTGCGCCGCCTGCACTCCCGCCACGACACGAGCGAGCCCTCGGTATCGCGGTGTTGCAGCCGCTGCAACCATGGCCCAGCCTTCCAGGGTCTCTTTTTTGCTAAATTAATCCATCTGTCAACCTGTAGCCGAGCCTTTTTGCACCCTGCAGCCGCGGCGCGACCTGGGCAGCGTGCTTGCCCTGACGCCCGCCTCGGTCATGTGATTCGCCAGCTCGCCTGCTCGCCTGCCTGCTCTCGCGCCCTCTGGCCTGCCTGCCATTCATCCATCCGCTAGTGCCATGTAGTCCTCCTACGTGGGCTGATGCCTCGTTCCCAACCCGGACTCATTGCCACTTGCAGAACCCGCTCGACTGGCGAGCTGCATTCAATTTCCACTCTGCCCCTGCCCCTACCACTTTGGAAAGGTACCTGCTCCGGATCAAGACCGACATGGCCCGCCGCCCGCCTGCATCGTCGCCAAACCGCCCACCCAATGCCTTCATCCTCCTGTACGCCGCTGCAGAGACGGGGTTGCTGTCATGCTCTTGCAGATCCAACCCTCGGCCCGCGGAATCACTTACGCGCACCCAATAGCCTCGTTGACCCGCCATGTGTCGTCCTCAGCCTGCCCATGCATCATGCATGTAATATATCATGCTGGGTGGCCGCCCATCCTGTGAGCGATCCAACGACACTCGGCCTGGGCGTTGGCGCCTTCCCTGCATGGAATTCCCTATGTCACTTCCATCAAACAACCTCTGCAGCAAGACACAGAGACTTATTTTGCACTCTCTCTTGCTCCTCCAACTTGATCGTACCACTTCCTCCTCCCCCCTCCCCCAAAATCATCTTGCTCAAAATGCCCCGGCTGCCCACAACGCTGTCAGACTAATCCCACAAAAAGGCCGAGACTCTAGTATTACACACTCCCATACGAGATTACCGCATACGGCAAAACTACTGACCGTCTGCGTACTCTGATCACGACACTTCCGGGAATTGCGTCATCTACCATAGGGCATGGCGGCAAGTTGGTCCTCCGCGTATTGCGGATCGTGTGCCGCTTCCTCGCGAAATGCCGACCTTGTCGCTGTTGACATGCAGCTGCGCGCTTCTGCACGGCATAATGAGAGGCAGGGACCCAAGAAGCGTACACATATAGAGCCTCAAATGCCATAGTGCACCTGCCAGTCGCAGGGCTGAAGCTGTCCCTCTATCTTCTAGCCGTGGGAGCCTCGTTGTGCATGTCGCGACCTTGATTACCTTTTTTGCTCTCCTCTCTCTCTCTCTCTCTCTCTCGCATTCCAAGCAATCTTTGCTCACTGACTAGTCATTTCCCTATCCGACAAGGGCCGGTTGGTCTGACTCTATTTTCCCACCTGCTGTAACCCTCTCCACAATCTGGACACCATCTACCTAATTCGGTCACTCGCTCTTCAAGTTGCCTGTTTCGGAAGTCCTCTTTGAACCCATACCAAGCCTCAACTGACGAGTCGGGCCACACGTCCCTAGTGGGTGGGGACAGGGGGGGTTGAACATCGACTCCCATCATGTGTTTCCCTACAAGAAAATTTTTAACTACAGCCTGGGCAATGGCATGGCCTTTCAGTATCTGTTGCAGCTGGCAAAGATCTGGCATGATAGGATGACTCTCTCCATCCCGTCGCTTGCATCCTCATCAGCAACTGTTGCAGCACCAGATTCGCATCTTGTCCTGACTCGCGCAACGTTCCGAGAATGTTTTGTAGATGGCGCTGGAAACATAGGCTTTTCCCAGGCTGCCCTGGTCGAGTGTAAGGACAGCAACACGCCAGTGACGTAACAAGAGCGCAAGCGCTGACCAGATCAGACTGGTGGATTTGATTCATCTGAGACATTTCAGGGTCATGATCGAAGATAGCGAGTGGTTTTCCTACTCCCACGATACAGAGATACAGATGTAAATGATCCCTGCAGTCCACTAATCGACGCGCAGTTTTTTTTTTCGGTACAGCTGCCGAATCAGAAGAGACCGCGCAGCTGTTGGGGTGGACAACACTGTCGCTTTCTTCTCGACCATCTGACATTATCCTCTTACAAACCACCATCGGTACACCTGGCTATATTGATAAACGATCAGTAGTTCTGATCGGCAGGAGACGATGCACCGGTCGAGCTCATTCGCTTATTGACGGCACCCTTAACAAAAGAGCGTTACTCTTTGCAGGTCCCGGCGCAAGGCATCCCTCTAACGATACTTGTTGAATTGGTAGCAGTACAAAGGCCTGCATCCAAGTCCCCATGTCCTCTAAAATCCTGCTGTCCGGTCAGTGACGACTTGTCTTGATCCCAGTCCGTCCGATCATCGAGTGAAACGCTATCCAGCCTTGGAATCTATTGCGCGCACAGATAGATCGGGTGTCAGCAGATACGGAGCTGTGCCCATGCTGTGTATTCTGGATTTCGCCAGTAGTCGCGATACAAATCGCGTATGGTGGAATTGGATGGGCAAACAAGCGGCCTGGGGGCGGGTGGTGTGGTTGCTGGCTTGCGAGCTACAATCAACTAGGCCGCTAGCGTCCTTCAGTCACATGGGGGCTTGATTTCACACATGCACACCATCCACATCTAGCACATATTTAGCGACGGGTTCAGTCAAGCGCACAGATACATGGTAAGCAGCAGCGCCTGTAAGGGTCAGATTTTGGCAGAAGCGCCGCACGCCTCTCAGCGCTGGGGCCAGGGTTATGGCCGCCATCCCTGGCAGCCACTATGTACGAATGCGCCATTTGTTCGGATCGCCCATCTTGAAATGCTCTAGACAATCATGGGGTGGCACCCTGCTCGTTCCCCACACACTCACACCAGGTTGCTGCCGAGCTATCGAGGGACGCAGACGTCATTTGGCCTGGGTATGTGGACAGCAATCGATCCGGCTGATCACTAGACCCCAGGGCGGGTGCGAGGGGGTTGCGCGCGCGACACCTTCATTGCTCGAAATCTACCGGCCTTGACTGTGTTTCCAACTGTATGGTTACTTTCGGTCCTAACGTCGTTTGGCTGTGTCGAGCGATATTGACTATTATCCCGCACTACCGGAAATTGAGGGCCGCTGCAACTCTCACTGTGTCGAGGGGGGGGGCCAGGGTAAAGTTGATTAACCAAATCTGCAAGCCTCTGCAGACACCTTGCCGCTACCGTTCAGAAACCCTCAAGGCTGGTGGGCAACCACGATCCTGCTTACCTTGCGTGAACGGTGTGCAAAGTCTTTAGCTGCATTCCACTGGATGAGTATGGTAAGCCCTCTTTTGTCTTTGTCCTCTTGCCTACAACGTTCGATACATTTTTATCGAGTTTGAGTCGATTTTTGCTCGCTGAACAAAGCCTTTCCAGACCCCTTAGTCAGTGAACAATTAACATATCGCTCCCTGTAGATCACATAGTCGAACTTGCTACTCTGTCGCAATCTTCACAAAGGCCATACGCACCCACATTACAAAAGTTTTCCAAGCGATGCGGGCGATCGACGACTAGAGGATCAGGCGACATTCCCTTTGATGTCGTGCATACGGCACGCCACACCGCAGTGGTCACCCAAACACCCAAACACCCCCGTGTGATTGGCATATCTGGCAAGGAACAAGTCTCTTCACAACATCAACTGACTCGCCTGCCAGTTCAAATCTAGATTGATTATCGAGATGATAAGCATGCGTTCACAGAAAAAATCAGTGGCAATAAGCACAATGCTTATGCCCTCGTATCGAACGACGCCCTCTATTCCAGTCGACGTGCGTCGGACCCATGCGAATATGCATGCAACAAACATCCAAGCAGACATATCCAACAGGTCTAGGCCCATTGGCATTTGCTCAATCCCTTGATCACAGACGCTCCTGTCATGCAGATTGTTGAGCACACTTTTCATATGAACGGCGTTTGGGATCCCTCTAAGACTCCTTTACGTGCTGTAATTCAATGACCTACAAACAGTAACGACATTACGCGACCAGTGGAACTTTCTGTTCTGGCCTACCAGCAACACACTTATGACAGCAGATCACGATTGTTGGAGGCTCAGCAGACCACCATCCTCGTTTTCACCATTTTTTCTATACCAAGACGCTACAATACGGCCCATTTCACAGAGAATATCCACATGGTATGGCTTTGTTGTGTCTGACAGCCTACTTTAGTATTACGTGCCATGCATTTTGGTGTGTCATCGAAAATTCCCTTTTCTGGCTATGGTATACATGGGAGGCGTTTATTCGAAAAGAAAAAAATTCATCAAGGGGATGACCATGACAGTACATGACCTCCAAGGTAGGAATATGGGGCAGAACTGTATGAAGCTTTGCCTCTTTGTCGCGCTTCGCGCGACATGAGCTGAATATACCGCGTCTCATCTCCTGAGGCACTGTACAGGGTAGGCGTTCCAGGAATAAGACTGTATGCACGTAATCGGTACCCGGCCTATCTTTCTACTCGGTTACACTTTTAGTTACATGACTGCTGCATTTGAACGAAGGGATGTCCCGTTTTGCTTGGCGGTGCATCTTGAACACGACAGCGATACTCGTAAGATCCTGCCACTACCCGTCGACCCGCCTTTTACAGGCTACACGCGACAGGCGATCATCAAATCATTCTTGCATCAGAAGAGCTGCGTGGATCGCCACTGTGGTTTTGGTGCTGAATGTCGACCCACATTTTGGCAAAAGAAGAAAAAGCAATGTCTCCTGTGCTCTGCAGCCTGCAGTCCAGTACCATCACGCATGGTAATGACAAGGGCCTCATTGGACAGAAACAAATTAGGCTGTGGGATGCGGGGAGAATTGCAGAACCATTCAGGCGTCATTCTGGAACGCCAGCCACCACACGGCAATCGAATTAGAGATGCTTACATTTCCAGCTCATGTCATTTGAACTCACTGCGCCTCTGACTGCAACTTGAGTCATATATTCGCAACCACCAAAAAAAGGACCAAAGTCTTCTTGTAATCCTACAGAATCCTACCACCACACCCTCCCGCACCATGACGATGCCTTATGGCAACGCACCACCTACTCCATACAGCCCTTGATGCCGTTGCGAGCCATTCGCCAGGTATCCTGCAAGACATGCCAAGCCCATACAGAACCCAGCAAACCGTGCAAGTTCCCTGAATGGATCCCAGAGGCTAGAGCCGGACGGTCGGCTAGTACCGCAGTGCGAAAGATTTCTACTGCTCGAGAATACGGTAAAAACTTAAACAGGCCAAGCGCTTGCATAACATCAACCCTTTTTCTACCCTTATCTGCGGCTCGCCGAACCGCAACCAGCCGGCCAAGCCCTTGTTGCCGTCGCCATCGAACGTGGCATGCATAAGTAGTGATGGTAGGATCCATACCGTGGGGGGCGAAGATACACACAATCAAGCATGCATGCTTCCTGTGGCTGGTTTTTCCCGAGCAACTCCGGTTAGACGTCTTAATTCCTTTCGGGAGGATCTCCAAGACCTCGTCCTCTCTTTTGGCCCTGTTTATCCGTGACAAGTAGAAGTACTCCATGGGTACCATTTTTTATCCGAGATTCTTCGGCTTTTTTTTCTGCCAAAATTCCAATCCGGAAATTGCAGATGCAGGATGTCATGTACGGTATGCACAGCTGCATTGTTTTCCCTTTTGATAAAGTCTTTTTTTTCTTGTCGACCTACTTTGATAGTGTAAAGAGTTGGGATGCATATGCATCATTGTTCACATTGTACAGTGCCCGATTAGGTATAGTAGGCAAAGTACTTGCATTCAGTCAAGGCAGTACCGCTTTGCCTTTTTCCATCACGGAACAGCAAAGCAGAGAGGTTCAACAGAAATGAGACGGTGATAACAGTGATAACAACATTGACGTATCTACTCCCAGAAAAGAACTCTACCCCGATGTACATCATCTTGGCTTTCCTGCCCAACCTAAGATACCATCTTGAAAACTTGAATCTCAATCCTTCCACCCCTTCCCACCCCCCCTTTTTTTCCAACCATGTAACAAAGCACAAACTACTAGTTTTTTTTTCCAAGAAATTAAAAAAAAAAACCCTTTTACCCAAATTCCGTTTTTCTTCCTTGTTACACCTCCCATTTATCACCCTAAGGAACAGCAATCATCAAATCAAACTCTCCCCTCAAGCCACCAACAACAAAATATATACTATTCCCCATACCTTTCCCTTATCTAGAAAGAAACCCCTCGTGTCCCACGATCTCGCTACCTTCCCCCGCCCCCTTTTCCATACATGTATAAATCAAACGTATCCTTTTACCACCCCCNCCCCCCCTTTTTCTTCTCCTCCATCTCTCAACAAACCTTCACCAAAATCTCCCCTACGTTGCCTCAACCACACTTGTCCTTTTTCATCTTCCCCCCCTTTCCTTTCTTTACCTCGAGTTCACGCGGAGAAAAAAGGGGGGGAGTCGAAGTTGTAATTTATCTTCTTTGCCTGTGTTTTTTTGGGAGGTGTGTTGAAGAGAGAGAGACACAGAGAGAGAATGTATGAAGACATAGTACGGCAAGGGAATCATGTATCTTTTTTTTTGGTTTGGTTGGCTGGTAGAATAAAGATGAAGAGGGATAAAAAAAAAGGGGGGGGAGGGGGGAACGAGTAAAGGGAATGAAGATGACGAAAAAAAAGGAGATCAGAGGAGGAGAGAGAATGATAAGAGGAAGTATTAAGACATTTAGATTGCTAGAGTAAGATGAGGAGAAGAAAAAAACCTCGCTTTTTGTTGGTCTATATGTACTATACAGTGTAGTGATTCCTGTTAGTTTAAGCAGGAAGAAAAGAGAGAGAGAGAAAGATATAAAAAGAAGATAAGCATCCAAAGATCTCGATTGATTGTGCCATTTTTTCTCAAACTTCACCATCCATATCTCAACACATCCCCCATCCAACTAATCAAATCCCTCAAACTCCCCCTCCGCACCTTGCCCACCCTCACTCGCACTCTCCTCCGCCCTCTCCCCCCTCCTCCTTGCCTTCTCCCTCTTCTCCTTGCGCATATTCTCAATCCGTCTCTCATACCCACTCTTACTACTAATCCGACTCGCCTTACCCGTCCTCCTCGCCTCAACCCCCCTCCTCTTAAGCACCTGCCTATCCCTCTTCGACGGCGTCGGAAGCGCATCCAGCAACCACTGTTTGACGCTCCCTTCATCGGCACCAACACCCCTCAGCGCCTCAGACGCGCGAATAACATTTGCAATGAGTTTAACGTAGGGAATGTCGTCTTGGGTGTAAAAGGTAACGGCGACGCCGCCGGTGCGGCCAGCGCGTCCTGTGCGGCCGACGCGGTGGACGTAGGCGGCGGCTGAGGAAGGGGCATCGTAGTTTACGACGCCGTTGAGGCCGCGGAAGTCGATACCGCGGGCGAGCAGGTCGGTGGTGATGAGGACCCAGATTTCGCCTTTGCGGAACCGCGTCATGATTGTGTCGCGGGCGGAGGAGCTGAGGTCGGCGTGGAGAACGGCGATGCGCGAACTGCCGCCGGCTTCGGGGGGTATGTCGTAGAGCAGTTCGGAGTGGAGGGCTATGGCTCGCGGGATTGTTTGGGTGAAGACGAGGAAGGGGGGACGGAGTATGGGTTGGGATGAGTCGGTGTGAAGAGCGGTTGGGTGAAGGAGCTGGCGAAGGCCGAGGAGTTTGCCTTGCTCGGTTGCAGCATAGGTTAGTTGGTGGGATATGTTTGGGATGGCGCTGTCTTTGAGGCCAACGACGAGGCGGATGAGTGGTGGTCGAGGGGGCAGAGCGGATTGTGATAAGGAAATAGCAGACCAGCGGTCGTTTAGAGTAGAGATTGCCAGGCTTTCAATGTTCGATCCCATTGTTGCTGACCACAGTCCAACGCGAAGACTGGGATTTGTGCATGCGTTCCATACAGCCAGAGTTTGTTCGCGGAACAGAGGATCGAGGAGGACATCGGCTTCGTCGAGGACAAGTTGAGATATGCTGGGGATGTTTGCAACGGTGCCGTCTCTGCGCTTCAGAGAATTCACGAGAGCAAGCGGAGTCGACACGAGAATTGCTGCTTTCACAAGCTCTGCTTGACGACCTGTCTTCTTTTTCGGTACTTCCTTCTCTTCATCTTCATCTTCTGATTCATCTCCATCGTCATCAGAGGCTTCAGACGAGACTTTGGCCTCGTCGTCTTTCGTCTCTTCAGCTTCATCTTCCTCGTGTGCTACCACCTGCATGCCCTTCCTCATAAGCGTAGCCTTAATTGCAGTACCCTTTGCCAGCTTCCTTGCTTCGTTCACAATCTGCGACGCCAGTTCCCTCGTGGGCGCAAGTACGACCGCACGAGGACTACTCTTAGCGTCTGTAGTCTTGCTTTCCGAAAGCAGTGCATTGATGATCGGTATGAGAAACGCTATAGTCTTTCCGCTGCCCGTGGGCGCAACCGTCAAAAGATCGATGTCTCCATTGTACTCCGCACCAGACAAATTCTCGGCGTCTTGCAAGAGCCCTGGCTCGCCCTTCTTGCGCAGTAGCAGTGGCAAGGCTCCCAGTTGAACCTCCGTCGGTAACTTGTAACCCTGCTCTATTATATTCTCTGCGAGGCGTCTCGATATGCCGTAGCGTGTTCGAAGTTGCGCAAACGATGTGATGGGCTGAGGGTACAACGTCTTCTTCGTATCCTTCTTTTTCTCCTTGACTTTCTCCTCTTCATTATTCTTCTTTTTCGACTTCTTCTCTTTGCGCGGCTCTTTTATTTGGGGTGCAAAGTCCTCCAACACAGCAACCTTTAGTTTGTGCGAGCGCAGCATTCTCTTACATTCCTCCACGTCGTATGGTTCCTGCTGGATATCGTTTATTTCCTTTTCCAAGTTCGCCGCCTCTTCCCGCTCTTGCTTCTTCTGCTTCTTTCTCTGCTTCTTGGATAATTTGTCCCCACCAGTCTGTACGTCTCTGCCTGCGCCTCCACCAAAGAAATCAAGGTCTGCAGGCAAGGCAGCAGAACCAGACTCTGGCTCTACAAAATTCTGCCCTCTCTTCCGTTTGCGACTCGAGTTGGATGAATCTGGCGACTGTGGTGACTCGTTGTGACCGAAGAGCTGTGGGTTTGCGACGGCGCCGGAGGAGGGAAGCTTTTGCGCGTGCGAGCTCTGCGCCGCTTGGGAAGATCGTGAGAGGAGCTTGAATACGTTCATGGCAGGGGTAGCGCAGACGGGTCAATCTGTGGTAGGGCACTCAACATCAGGGTTTCCATACGGAGCTCAATTTGAAGTTGTTCGCGATGCAAAAGTTGCATTGTTGCAATGGGAAAAATAACTGGGCCGGGGCTATTTGGCCGAACTAGCGCCGAACACCTTACATAGCATTCACAGCACGGGCTATGGCCGATCATTTACTGAAGTAGATGCATTGCCAGTAAAAGTGCACATATAGAAAATGGAATCTAAGTCAGAGGTATGTGCAGTATACAGTATCGGATCCCTTGCACCCCGAATGCACCGCAAACACACTTGGTCGGCTCATCAGCCCGCGAAATCGTACAGTGTTTCCTCACCCCGCCCCTCGTCGCACATCTAACTTTTGGCTTGGAGCCAAATGTATACTTGAATGTCATGTCTTGGTCTTGTTCACTTTATTGCACTCAGTGGTGCTCGTCCTTCTTGGTCCTGTAGCCAACCAGCTTGAAACGGCCAATGATCTCACCAACGGAGAAGAAGCCAATGACCTCGGCAGCAACTACGCCAATCGAGTACCACTGTGCAGAGGGGATGTTTCGGATTTGTGCGATGACGTTGGCGGGTGACTGCTGGGTGGCGCTGTTGGCCTCGCTGGCCAGGCGGCTGAAGAGGGTGCTTGGGTTGCGGAGGGCGTTCAGAGCGGGCTGGATGTAGTTTTGCATGGTCTGGACGGATCTGATAATTGTTAATAGTTTGTTCCCTAAAAAGACGTAAACATGGCCTGCAATTGTGAGAAGCTTACGGTGGTTGCATGTTTCGCTGCTGGGCAATGAGCTTGCCGAGCTCGAGTCCAACCTTTCCGTAGTAGGTGGCCCGGGGAATGATTCCTGTGCAATTGTCAGTAAACGGCTCATCAGGCACGGCCACGTTGTTTCGATGGCACTGTTAAATAGCGTGGCGCAAATCTATCAATGCCCCTCTTCGCTGCTCCCCTGATAAGGCGTATATCACTCCTCTGGCGACCCATTGAGTGTCATAGCCTTCAATCCCCGCTCTTCTTACAGCCCATGATCTGCCCGGTGCCATTGAACGTCTCCTCGCGTCCCTCGCCCATGGGTGTGACTAACCTTGCACGAAGTTGACCATCCTTCCTACGCGGCCCGTGGCTTGCTGCGACGCATTGCTGGCGGCCTGGCCAGCGCTCGACGCCGCAGAGCTCGCCGAGCTCTGGACCTTGGAGAGTCCCTCTGATGCCTTTGACTGTGCCTTTGACGCAGCGTCTTTTACCGTGTTGGTGGCTTCGGCGGTCGTCGAGGCATTGCGGATGCCAGCGCGGCGGACGGTGAACGTCGACTGCCGTAACACGGCACGGGATGCGGCGAGAGACATCTTGATGCGAATTGAGCGAGGGAAGATGGGTTGTCGCCGGTCGTCTGCTCGTGAGGGTGGATGGAGCTCCGGCAGTGAGCTGACGATTTTTCCGAGGGGGCCGTGCGCCGCTTGTCGGAACCCTCAGCGGCTCAGGAGATTGATCGAGTGTTTATCTTTACATCACCCAACACTTTTCGTCTGCTGTATGCTTAACCCATTAGCTAGCAGAGCAAACTAAATGCAACCAAATCTATGTGTCTAGGGAATGAAGTGACTATAGAAAGCTATCCTAACGTCATCATTGACGGCACGTGAGAATATTGCACCTTAACCACAACGCTGGTACAAGTCTTTTCTTAGCGCTAATACAGCTTCATAACAGACTATCTAGCTTATCACTCGGCGGGCTGCTGACATTCTGCAAAGGGTTGATTCTAAAGTATTTTGCTCCACCTCTTCTCTGCTAAACCATCAGGGGTTAGGTATTCTCGAAACAACAAAAATAACAATTTCGTTCATCCCCCTCTAATCCACCACCTACCAGTCATCTCTAGGAGGCCCTCTCTTCTTCTCCTTTGGCTGGCCCAACACCGCCCCTTTGATCAAAAAGTTCAACTTTCTAATCTCCGTCCATCGACTCAAAGCCCCTAACTCAAGCACGCTCATTCTCCTCATCTTGCCACTCGGATTCCCGATCACCACTGCTTGCCAATCGCTGCCTCTACCCATCTTCTCTAGGTCTTTGAACTCCTCCCATGCTGCTGTGTCGCGTCTGGTACCAAAAGTATGATTTGGTATGACTTGCACGGACCTGAAGCGCAAGAGGACCAAGATTAGAAGAACAGTTAGGCCCAAGAGAATACCTGCTGTGACGCCTGTCGAGGTTTGTGCTCCAAGCCGTCGTGTCATGTTACCTCCAACTATGGTTGCTATAGCGGCGAGTATGAAGCCAAAGATCTGGCTCGCAAATATGCCGGCTGTGATGCGAGGAAATGACGAGTAGTTGGTTCTTCTTCTGCGGTCTTGCGCTGCCATGCTTTGAAGACGATGCTTTGTATTGACACCAGGTTGTAAGTCGCACGTATCAAATGTTTCCATCATAAGCCCATGGCACTCAGCTATAGCGAGAATACTGAGGAACCCTATTGCGCCGGCGAAGATGATCGGCACAATGTATGGCTGAGGGGGCCCAGCTGATGAGATTGTGTAAGCCATTCCCATGAGAGGAAGTGTGAGTGTGAAGACGGCGCGCCGCACTAGATGGCTGGTCCAGGTGACTTGCTTCTCAAACGTCATTGAGTCGGTGCGGAATGATCTTTTGCGATCACGAGAGAAAATACCAGCCTTCGTCATGGGGATGGCTAAGAGTGCGCCAACAGCAATAGACATGACGCCTGCGCCCACCAGTGTCGATCTCCATCTGTAGTCTCTTGACAATAGGGCACCCAGGAGAACAATTACGAGCACAACCTGTGCGTAGATCCAGCCTAGATAGACCGCAAGGACGAGAAAGCCCGGTTGAAGGAGCATCATAGTCATGAGCTTTATCCCAGCCCATACTTCTTCAAACCAATACCTCGGTCCCTCAGTCTGAATATGCAGCTTCACCTCTCCCCTGCTAATTCGCCTCGTAATATAGTTCTCATCTTTGTCGTAAACTTCAGTTACCGACTCGCGAAACTGTGCCCGTCGTGTTTCCGAAGCAGTAATGTTGAGTATCAAAGCAACCAACAGAATCAGAATTACAACGTAGAATCCCCACTGAGGTTGCAAATCTTCGATGATCGCAGCCCCAAGTTGGAAGCCTACAGCGAGCGAACCAATCCAGCACCATGACCAGATGCCCAGCCATAAGCCCATGCCTCCACCATGACGGCGTACGTCATTGATAATGACAAACTCTTGGTGCGGGTTCTTCGATTGTAACGAGGCGCCGAATAGATCGAGTAGCACAGTGATGTAATTCACATTGGCAAAACCGAGGACGAGGCCCGATGCTCCACGAGCCAGCAGGAGTCCAACACGCAACGCGGGATCTTTGTCGGCATACCCGCTTACAACGATAGCTTGAGGAAACTGAAGTGGTAGAGCAATTGTCAAGGCTGAGAGGACGTAGGGTTTTCGTCCGTGGAGGAGCGGAAGGGTCCAAGCAAAGAGAGTGGAAATAGCAAGCCCAACGAACAAGACTGCGTTCCCGACAATCGTTACATGCTGCTCGTCCGCCAGAGAGTACTGTATGCGTGGTACCTCGCCAGCGTAGATTCCAACAATGATGCCGAGTAGAGCTGTGTTGATGCATGCGATCGTTGCAGTCAGACGTTTCTTGCCTGTGGACCAATTCCTTGCAATTGGCTGTCTGCGGTGAGGCCGTATCAAGTTGAACGTATGATGATGCGCCTGGCCTCGGACTGTCAATTCGTTACCGTATGCTTTTGCTGGCGGACGGTCTTCCTCGGATGAGCTGTCGCTATCGTCCAAGTCAGTATCCTTTTGATCGGATTCCGAGTCGGGTAAAGGAGTACGTTTGAGGCTCTTTTTCTGCGGATGAGGGTGTCGACTGGCTCTAGGCTCGTCGATGTTTCGTTGGCGTGAACGACCTCGGGACTCTTCTCGGCCTACGGGGCGGAGAACAAAGTCTACATGCTCTCTAGGAGCTGCTTTTATATGCTTTGGTTGAGGAACACTATTATGAGTCTCTGATCCGGTGCGGTCTTGTTCGTTCTCTCTTTCAGTTGCAGGAATCGTTGGACCCCCCTGTTCTGGGTGTTCTTGGCTCGAATATGCCCAATCATGGGATACTGAGCCTCTGTGGAGTCCATGGGGAGGATGCACATTGGGCGCAACATTTTCAAGTACGTTCCCAGGAGACCCTGTTGTAGGATAGGGCCTCGAAGATGGGCTAGAAGAGCTAGATGCTTTGAGAGGAGAAGCTGTCTTCATGAGGTGTGTCGGTTCCACAGCTGCCTCCCGAACGGCCTTTTTGGCACCTTCGATGATCTCATATATCTCCATTACTTGGCCTTGATCTTGAGTACCCTCGGCAACCTCGACGGCTTCTTGTGCCATGTCTTCCAGATCGTCTAATGCTCTGCTTATCCTCCTGCTGGCGCTATGCTCGAAGGCACTGCTCGATGGCCCTTGGATCTTCGACACGATCGCTTCCGTTGACGTGCTATCCGAATCGCTCTTTGTTGGCATGATAATATGTTCTGGTATTTCAGGCTGCTCCAGATGATCTGGAATGGGTGCCAAACTCTGAGCGCGCGAGCGGTAGTCATTGTGCTTGGGATGATTGACATCGTCTTTGATGCGCACAATCGAAAGCCGTTTCTGAGGATTATGCGGTTGTGAAATCGATACCCGGTGGGCCGTTCTTTGTGGAGTTACTTTGCTGGAAGCTGAGGATATCCGTCGAGCTTCTGACTGCTGGTGTCTTGCAGCCGGCGATGGGCTACTTCCAGTCGCTGAGGTGCTTTGACTGTCGACCGGTGAGACATATGTTTGCCTTCGCGCTATTGGCTTGGCCCCTACTGCAGCCCATGAGGCACCAGAGGCTGAGGTCCTGCGACTTGGGACACGGGTGCTTGGAGATGGTGAGTTCGCAGAACTGCCATGACCATCCACTGGTGTATTATGTGGAGTTCCTATAGAAGTGCTGAGCTGGTCATATACTGAGCTTTTGCACGAAGCGTGAGGGCAGTTGTCTTCAAGCCAAGGGAGCTTTCCCCTTGCGGGTAACAGAGGCTTCCTGTGCTCGGGCACCGTTGTCGATTTCGATCGCGTGTTCGGTTTGTTTGGTTCTTTGAGAGGGATCTCTGCCATCTGTCTAACTAAGAAAAACTATGCAGTAAGATACGATTTTGCAAAAGCAAATGGTATTACGAAAAAAGACGTGTAGAACTATCAAGGAGCGGGTCAGAGGTTTGAAAGGTGGGTCGTTAGGTAAATGCGGGTTTTCCACTTGCAGGAATGCGTGGGAGAAGAGTGAGTGGCGACCAGCTTGAAGTTCTTACAGGCAAATGTGTGTAGTGTGGCGAGGGTCAGGAATGAGGTGAAGCTGGTCGTAAGAGAGATGCATAAGGTGAGAGCATATGTTGGAAGATGAGTACGAGAAGATTCGCTATATTTAGGAAAGGCTCTTTCTCAATGCCACGCGACAAGGGTACTGTATGTTTTATGGGAAGGTACCACTTACGTACCTAATTTATAACAAGACAATGTCACCTGATACATTGATAGTTTTTATTCGTCTAGATCTAGCCGATATGTGAAAGCCACAGTGCTCTATCGTCAAACCGCTTGCAAAATCGCTCCGGTCATACCAAGCACCTTCTCTTCCTCAAGTCTTCGGGCGATAAGTCTATGTGCATTAGCGTCATGATCAGGAGGGTCACTCTAGTGCAATACTTACTGTAAGCTCACAGGTAATCCATCCAACAATTCAGGATCATCTATCACATGTCAGTCATCGAAGTCCTTCCATGTAGTTGTGTAGTGGATCTTACAGCTATCCTGGGCAGCTTTGCAAAAATCACTTTGAGGCTTGTGATCACTCAAGCGCTTGTCTTTTGTTTTATCGACCGAGACTCCACAAGGGAATGAGACTGCAGAGTAGTCTACTATATTGTATACGCCAGTATATCCGACGTATTTGAATTCACCATGCGGTACGCTGGAGTAAGGAGTTGTGGGTGCTGTCAATCGTTAATCAGTAGGTAACAATGATACAGATTTACGACTTACCTAGGATGGCATCGAGTCCTTCCATGGAATTCCATTGTTCCAAGTATTGCCTTTGTAGCTCGCTTCTCGCCAAATGTAGCTGCCACATTTCATAGACTCCTAGTTCTTTGGATTCTGCGTAGGCCTGCATCTCTGGGCGAAACGGTTCGCCGGTTGGTTCGAGCAATGCTTTGACACTCTTACCGCCGTCTGCGACGAAGAATTTTGCCTGTAACATTTAGTGTCAAGATTCAGGTGGTTCCTTGGATGCTTACCAGAATTTCGAGTGCAGTCGGATGCAGCTTAGGATCCCAATCA